TGTGACAACTCATGACTCAGCAAGTTCATTTGCATGATATTATAATCCCAGTCTGCATAAGTGATCCTGTAATTTCCTAACATTTGTCCAGAACACAGTCCCATTGTCTTTCACCACATGTAACCATCGGATAGAAATTGTCTTTGCTGAGACCCAGTCATGTCACATAAAGATTCTGACCCTGGTAATCTAACAAACTTGAAGTGCTATAAATGTGTCAGGCTTAATATCTGGCATGTGTTTCACAAAATATTAGGTCTTCATCATGACTACTCTCAAGTAAATTGTATGGATTTATGAAATGTTATTTTGATGTTTGTGCCTATTTACAAGTATGTTTTGTGATAATTTTAGCTGTTTCATATCAAAATTTTAACTGCTCAAGATGCCAATTATCGTAGCTTTTAAAGCTGAAACTAAAAGCCAAGTTACATTTATGAAGTATATTTAGTATAAATATTACAGTTTTGCAGCTGGGTGACCAAATGCAGGAAAGTTCTTACCTTGTTGACTGGTGCACTGCCGGCTGTGAATCTTGCTGATGAATCAATATGCCTGTTGGCCAGTAATGTTTGGAATGAAGTAGTTACAATTCACAGATCACAGGTGGTGTTAAAAATGCTATCTGTCTACATGTAGACATTCCTCGCACCAGCAAAAGACATTCAGATTTAGCATCTGGAGCTGTTCTGCAGGAATATTTGCAATTTCCCTGCAGATATTTTCTTTTAATTTTTCCATTTTGGAGTAACTGTTGTGAACTTTGTCCTTCAAACAACCCCAGAAGAAGAAATCACGAGGATTAAGATAGGGTGAATGTGCTGGCCAAATACCACTGCCGATAATTCTGTCCCTGAAGTCATCAGACAAAGCCTGCATAGACTTATGTGCAGTGGGGGCAGTAGCTGAGTCTTGCTGAAAACAGCCACACAGTCTTATCTTCTGTTAACGCTGGAAAGAACTGCTTGAGAATGACCTGTACATATATTTTTCAATTGTTTCCTTAATAAACACAGGTCCAACAATCCTCCTTGCACTTACAGCACACCAGACACCAACTTTCACTAAACTGAGTGGGGCTTCGTGGGTTAGATGTTGATCTGTGAACTCCAGTACCAATTATTTTGTGTATATATGTATCCCTGCAAGTGAAACCACACTTCATCAGAAAAGAAAGTCAACTGCAGTTGATCTCACCTTCGACAACAGACTGTTGAAACTGGAAAAATGAACCTTGCTAGCTAGATTGCTCAGCTGCAAGGCATGGATTACTGTTGTTTTATAAGGTCTAAGCTTCAGTCCTTCCTGCACTAGACTTTGACACTGTGGTCTCTTGAGCTAGACATTTCAGTGATTTTCTAGGTGTATGTTCAAGTCTGGCCCCTGCATCATATACGAGGGGGGACCCAAAAATAACCGGAACCGACCTGTTGCGCGCGCATGCTTTGTAGTTACGAGTTGTGCTGCTAGGTGGTGTTAGCGGGGGGTCTCCCGCGACTGTTAGTGAGCTGGCGTCAGTGTGAATTAAGTGGTTTGTCTGTGGTGCTCTGTTGTGTGCGTTCCTGTTTCAACCCTTTGGCGATTAGTGAGATGGCCGACCAGAAGGAACAAAGAGTGTGCGTGAAATTTTGCTTTCTGTTAGGGAAAACTGCAGCTGAGACTGTTGGGATGCTTCGGCAAGCCTTTAATGATGATGCTTTGGGGAAATCACAGGTCTACGAGTGGTTTTCCCGTTTCAAATCTGGCAACATGTCAACAGAAGACATGCCACGCCCCGGGCGTCCTTCGACAGGAAGAAATGACGAAAACATTGCCAAAATCAAACGTGCAATTGATGAAGATCGTCGAAAGACCATTGACCAACTTTCTGAGGAAACGAACATCTCATGGAGCACGGTCCAGCGAATTTTAAC